CAAATGTACGACCCCACTGCCACCTCTCTGCGATCACACTTAGGGTGCCGACCCCCAGGTTGAGAACCGCTGCTTTACTGCATTCTCGATGAACCAAAAGAAGAGACCAATATTTATTTAGTTCTTTATTAAACTAATTTGAAAGGCAATCCTTTTTGCTGCCTCAACAAATACAGATACAAATACTGGGTACTCTGCACATCACTACCAGAAATGTTTAACCTCTCAGCCAGTCAGTACAAATGTTTTTTTTTTTTTAATTCTAGTTGAGATCCCAACGTTTCCAAAGATACCAAACAAAAAACAGTTAAAGCAATAGTCCGGTGCCCAAATGAACATTGAACTAGGTTTTTCTTGCCAGAATCATTCCTCCTGTACTGAACATTAAATCCACAAGCCTCCTTCTGTGCAAAAATGTATTTAAAAGTTTATCTGGAGCTAATATGAAGCTTCAGCTGCCTGAATTAGCCAAATATCTTTCAACGTTACAGTTTTTTTAGTCCCTCTTTTTGTTACTATACTTCAACTACAGCTCAACAGGGAATCCTTAAGAACTATAGGACCCAGTTCAACATGAACGAAACAGTTTAGGAGCTAGGATCCAACTAATTTTTTTCTTTCCTTGGTACTCCGCCACTCCTCTCTGGTGCATAACGTAGCCACTTCTTCACTGTCTCACTGTATGGGAATTCTGGCAACTTGCAGTCAAATTGACGAACAGCCGCTAAAAAATAAAAAAAGAGTTGTTATAAAGGTACATATATATATATATATATATATATATAAATAAAAGAAAGTCGCAGTGTTCCATTCCAAAGTGACTTAAATGTCCAGTGTGTAGTTTTTAGTGTACTAGATTTTCACTCGGCCTTAAGAATGGATGCATCTCCCTCACCATGGAATGAGCCATTTATTACGATTTATTATGATGTCAATTTAATGTTGTTATTTCAACATTGAAAAACCAGCATCTATACAATGCTGATTCAACAACATTTTTTCAAATGTTGAAATGGTATCTGTAATTAAACATTGAGTCAACATAGATTTTTCAACCTCAACCAAAAATAACCAATTTGACCAAAATTCAACGTTGAATTAATGTCTTTTGCTATCTGGGTGAAAACAAGTTGATTAATAAACCCAGCCCAATATTAATATTAAATATTAACACTAAATATAATATGGGGCTCCTTATGGGAACCCACTTTAACTACCGTCACAAGATGGCAGTATAGCTCCATGTTAAATGAGGGATTAAAATCTTATTTTCTTAATTCCCTTAATTTTTGCTTTACGGAAACAAGAAAAATGTCATTCAACTAACAAACAAGGATTATGCACTTTTACAACGTTGTAACATGGATAAAATGTATAATTTCACTTCCAACAGACATTTCAATTTTGTCACACAGAAACATGTGGTAAGAGAGCGGAGGGCGTGATTTCCCCGGGGCAATGCGAATGGACAGGATGTGGTTGAGAAAAGAAGCATTGTCTCACGACAACTAGTGGGTCATTCATCACTGCGTTTTGCCCCAAGGCTGGATACTTTAAGATGGCATCTGAAACTTGAGGGATCCCAAGTGACCTTTTAGCCTTGGCCTAAGGATGGCTGAAAGTCAGGGGTAATACAGGGGTGAGTCCTAAACATTTGACCCCCGGTGGTCTCTAGGGCCTTGTTCATTGATAATACTGGTTCAAGGGAAGTCCAGAGAGGCTGTTGCTCTACACAACATAATCTCCAACCTCAACAATACTCAAATGACCAGTGGCTAACGAAATATTCAGATTCTTTACTCACGTGAAGTAGCAATATCACAATGTAACTGGGGACCATCTCACGATGGGATCACTCCAGCCACGATACCATGATCCATGACTTATACCCAGTGGCGTAAATATAGACAGTGCAGGAAGTGCTATTGCACTGGGGCCCCTTTAATATTTTGTCAGATATACAATTATTATTGCTGGGTAATATGTTTGTCGATGTTGTCCAATGTCAGGACAGCAACGCTGTTGGGTTGGGTCAGCTTTATCAGTGGTAATAGTGTGGTAGTGTTTTAACGTAATGTTGCATAACTTGTTTTAACGTAACATCAGTGTTGGGAAGTAGCGATGTTACTAACTGAACTACATTTCTCAATGGTGTGGTGGTAACGTCACTACTTTCTGAGTCAAATTGTTTTTCAGTAGTGAAGTTAATTAACTGACCAAGTAGCATGGTAGCATCCACAAAAGTTAGAAGCTCTTTTTCCCAGAATAACTCTGAAGTGCAGCAGGCTTTTTTCTCCAGAGGTCTCCATAAAACAAAGGATAATAAAACTGAGGATAAGTAATGTGACTGACACGAGCTCCACATTGAGGCATGTTGACGAGGGAAGCACTTCCGCATGACATCACATACCAATCCTTTAGTTTATTCTGTTTGCTGCTTCGCTATTGGCTTTTCTTTGCAAGACCCGCCCTACTCTGCCTCTGATTGGTTACATTGCACTTCTTGATGCATCTCTCACGTCTTGCTCATAGACATTATATGTTTAGTGGAATTGCAATGAACACTAGAAAATTAGACACAACAAGGGCCAAGAAAAGAGCTAAGGAGACAGAGAGCAGTAATAAGAAGAAAGAGATGTTCATGTTCTAATGTTCCAAAAAGAAAAGTCTGAATTGAGGTCAGTTATTTTTTTATTTATTATAGTTTAACTGACTGAAAATCGATTTGGTAATTCTATTTTTGAATTAGTGACATAGCCAGATAGCCTACTGAAAGAGGCCAAGACAGAGAAATGAATTAAGCAGGAAGAGGGAGAAAGAAAGAGAGAGAGCAATAGGCTGACTGATGATGTCATGTTATTGGAGGACATATTCAAATGTCACAAAGTCTTCAAAGAATAAAATAGAAAGTTTTAATTTTAGTCTGTTATTTTATAATAACCACTTCAACAGAACAATTTTTGTCTGCCTATTTGTTTGGCTGATAGTTTGTATGATCTCTGAAATAATGCTGATTTGATGTCAAGTCCAAAAATAAAAGCAGCTTTGCAAATAATAGCTACTAACCAATGCCATTTTCTTGTAATTTAGCTTGCTAAATTTCCCAAGGGATAGCTTCAGTGTAGAAAGACTTTATTTTGATGTAGAGTAGCTGGAAACTTAGCTCACTACATTTTCCAAGTAGCTTTGCCCAACACTGCGAAACATTATGTAATTTATGCACAGTTGTCACACACTGACGTCACTCATGTTACGTAGCAACCATATTTATTTTAATCCAAAATATGATCGATCTTTTTTTCTAAACCTAACCAAGTAATTTTGTCGCCTAAACCTTACTGCATTCATCTCACAACATCAACCACGTGTTACAGTATGTGAGACTCTAAAGAGTTCCCAATATTTGTGGACATTTTAAGTGCGCTTGGGGCCCTCTACTGACCATGTGCCCCTGAAGCAGCCGCTTAATTAGCTTATGCGTCGGGCCGGCTCTGGTTACTCTGCAGATTCAGATCTCACATAAAAGGCTGGAATTTCTTCCAGCTCTGTTTATACTAGATTAATGGATTTATCAGCACTGATGCAATGATGTGTAAGCAGCATTTTAATGTAAAAAGTAAAAAGTACAATATTTCCTTTTGAAATGTAGTGGAGGAGTAGAGGCATAAACTACGTCACTTGAGAGGGGGGCAAAGCCCTGCAGCCAGGTTTCAAAATACTGCGGGAAGCCTTCCTATAAGAGTGGAAGCTGTTCTAACAGCAGATCATTGCAGATAGTTTCAGAATCACTTGTTTGGGTATTCACATACTTTGCTTAGCTGAATACATACTTTTTAGCCACACAGTGTACGCACTTACAAACAAAAATAATGAGAGCATGTAAGCAGACAATAAAAAGAAAAATACCTCGAACCCTGTTGTGTCTTTATTTCAGTAATAAGACATCCAGAGTGTGCACTGAATAGAATATTAACCCAAACTATCCTCATAAACCCTGAGCAATTACAAAGCGTGCAGGCTATGTTTTCAATAATAGGTCCAGTGCACCACAAGGTCAGGATCTCTCTACCAATCAGATCTCATGTAACATCACACGAAAGCCATAACCCCCATCATTAACTCAACCTGCACGTCTCACCCTGCTGACTGCTGGTCTGCAAGCTCTCGCTACTGAGTGCGTTATTAAGGAGGCTGTGGACTGAGGTGACGCTAACAACAACAGTGAGCTCCACAACTGAGTGGGCCTAGCTGTAATTGTGCAGTGGAAGTGCACAGGGGTTGGCTTGATCAGGACACTGGGCCTCTGTCCTAATGGGTCCTCTGGAGACTTTGGGGCTGGTGCTCCTCCTGCCAATCCAGCGCCGTCCTCCTGACACCAGGGGATCTTGACGGGGGCCGGGGCCTCGCTGTAATTACTGTTCACTGTCCCGTCACAGAACCTGACACCCCTAATACCCCGGCAAGCCCCAGCCTGAAAGGCCAAGGTGGCCCGCAGAGGCCTGCAGAGGCTGAGAAAGCTTCATTTCTGATCCGTCAAAAAGCAGGAAGAGTCAGTTGGTTTGTGGGGCTGTCACAGAAATCACACCGACACCAGAAACTGCACTGTTAGCTTGTATTAGCATTGGATTCAAATGTCATTTAGGAGTTTCTGTTGTGACAGTTTGTGATTGTTTGCTGTTTAGATCCATTCCCACAGGAAGGAGAGATGTCTGTGCCATGGTTAAATAATAAATATGTGTTTAGATTACTTTTCATACAACATACAGCTGCTATTAGCATAGCTCTCATCATGTCCCTCCTCTCTAAGTTTGTTTGGAGAGATGTATTTGTATTGGTGGAGTCATAAAAGACGTCTTTTGACCGCCTCCACCATTGACACCCTGACCCCACTTGCACAATTTTGAAGAGCACACCCACATGCAGCACTTGTAGGATGTAAATCACTTTGGGTTGAATACGTGGGCAGATTGAGAGAGGAACAGGATATGAGAAAACAGAAACAGAGTGGCTGCTGATGGATACTGGAGTGTTTGTATTTGTCTCTGAAGATGGAGCGGACCGGTTGAACAGGGCTGTCTCCGGAGAGCAGCCAGGCCAAAGCCATTGCCCGAGGCTCTACCCCGGGGCCTCCCAGCCCAGTACAGCACCACTGAGGCACCGGGACTTACCTGGGACTGCCTGCAGGGACAACAAAGAAACCAAAACTGTGAGTATGAATTATAGATATAGGTACAAAGAGAAGCTGCTTAACAATAGAGCAATACAGGGAGTGAGTTACGGCTGTAATCAACATGTTACATAAAGGATTTTTTTTTTTTAAATAATCAGCACAGGTAACACACTTAAGGCCCATCACTATCATTTATACTTGACCAGACGTGAGTTTTGTCAGCACATACTTCTGTGTTTATACTTTTGTTGGTGTTACTGTCTTCCATATAATTAGTGCAATCTGTCAAGCTCCAACAGAGAAGCATGGCATACTTTTAGGTTGTTGTCATGGAAAACTGGTAGTTATGGTGAAAAAATAAATGTCATGTTTTTCATATTGTTAGACTTAATCTTAGGGGAGTACCACAACAATTTAGTATTACACTCCCATAACACTTGCAGGACACAGATTTAAAAAAAAAAAAAAAAAAAAAAAAAAATTGGCAAACCTGACACAGCATCATATCCTGACTGTCATGTCTTGTTTTCACTTGTGTACGCAAAAATAAAAAAAAATGGAAGTCCATGTATTCTCCATGATATCCAATGTGTAATCCTCCCCTCCGTTATATTTCTGTCCAGAATTTGTCTCAAATACGTTCAAAGAAAGTCATTTTTGCAGTGGATTTCGGAGAAACCATATGACAGTGTGCTATTAGCTAATAGGCTATTTTCTTTAATTCAGTTGCCTGTGTTGATTGTCAAGTGAGTTTGTATGATTAAAAAGAGCTCATCTAGTTCAGGAGTAGGCAGCATGCGATCCCAGGGCCACATGTAGCTTTATTGCCTCTCTCTAGTGGCTCCATGTGGCTATGACAAAAAAATATGTAAACGAATAACAGTTATTTTTTAACATTGTAATTTTCATTTAAACCTTTTTCAAGTAAACCATAAGAAGTTCTTACATTTTCCAACTGTAAAAACGTGTAGCCTATACACCAAATGAGAAAAATGTTTTAATATTTAATCAACTAAAATATGCCTTATGCATCTATGACCTAGCGTCTTTCCTCTAAATTCTGTCAAACCTCAATAGCAGTAGGTAGTCTAAAGTCTCCCTAGCTGGGCTAGCTTTGGATTCCAAATCCAAAAAAGGAAAACTCTCATAGAAAAATAGAGTACTTAATAGGGTGTGGACAGGTCTGTTTGCTTTTATCACCAACGCTGTAAAGTTAAAGTACCGAAAATTATTAAAGAGGCCACTGCAGAGTAGCCGTCTTGTGGTAAAACATATTAATGAATGCTCATTTAGATCTATTAATAATGTTGATAGGCTAATTTAGACTTCATAGGCTGTGTTATCTTCATATAAAGCTCAGTTATGTTTTGCAGCTCCGGACAGATTTTTTTCTTAAGCTATTTTGGTGAAAAATGGCTCTTTTGGAGGGTAAAGACTGCCAACCCCTGGTCTAGTTTTAACACATTGTTAATCTCAATAATGTTATTCTGCTAAAATATGGTTACACATTAGATACAGTCAGATTGTCATTATGACTCATTCAGCCCTTCATACATATTTTTGATGAAATATTTAACAAAACATGCTATGTACCTGGCAGGCCAAAATTTTCATTTATTTGTTATCTATTTGTGATATATTGGTCCTGTTTTTGTCCCGGTAATGTTCTAAGCACATATTTCAAACTATTGGATGGCAAAAAAATAATACCTATGGATCTACGGACACCAGTTACATACGAAAGTGAAAATGAGGCATCAAGCCTTATTTTATGATAGGGCGCACAAATCTTTTGATGAGTGTTGCTCGACTGAAATTACTTATTTTCAACAGAAAAAATTGTCGCTAAACACTTTCCTTTTATGACAGAATTCTGGGATGTTGTGGGCAAAAGCAGCAGCCTCTGGGGCTGAAAAATGAAGCCAGTGTTGAAGTGCAAAAAAACTGCAGTTCATCAAATGGCCACTTGTGGCTGGCTCCAAAACTGAGCAACTCCTATAGACTGTAAAATATAATGGTTGTAACTACCGTGATGTCACCCACTGCTTTGTGGACTCCTGTTTTGAAGCCTTGAGTTTGGCATTTTGGCTGTCGCCATCTCGATTTTTTTTTTTGAGCCAGAAGTGACCATATTTTGGCTAGAGGCTAGAGCTGTGGAGGAGTGAGTGGTAAATCTGACTGAGAAGCTGAGGACACTATCAGCAGACAGCCTGTCACTCAAAGCGGCCTGGCCTTAAATCTACGTAACATTAAGCCTTGGTAACATTTAAACAGGTGAGTTACATACAAAGTCAGCCATAATCATGTCATAAATGTTGAAATCAGCTACAGAGACCAAAACTGTTTTTTGTACCACGCTGTAAACATGTTTATTTCTGCTGCAAAGTTGGAAATTTTAACATGGGGGTGTATGGGGGTTGACTTTGTTTTGGAGCCAGCCTCAAGTGACTGTCAGAGGAACTGCAGTTTTTGGCAATTCTGTGTTGGCTTAATTTTTCAGCCCTGGAGGTTGATGCTTGGTAATGGCCTATGTTAAACCTCTAGCCCAACTTTACAGCAGTGATAAAAACATGTTTACAGCCTGGTACAAAAACTAGTTTTGGTCTCTGTAGCTGATCTCAACATTGATGAAAAAGTGCAGGGCCACTTGAGTGACAGGCTGTCTGTGAGGCATTGCCACAGTCTGTTGATCCCACCCTTGCTCCACCATGGCTCCAACCTCTCATCTAATATGGTCATCGCTGGTTCCAAAAAACCAAGATGGTGACAGCCGCAATGCCAAACTCGAGACTTCAAAACAGGAGTCCACAGGACAGTGGATGACATGCGCAATGTGATTGAGAGGTCACAGAGGGCCTCTCTAACACATCTACTGGAGTTTTGTGTGTCCCAGCGGGTCTGGGACACACAAAATAGGGTTGGATCCAGCTCAAAATGGTTGGCAGACATACAAAATTACCAAAAGTGCATATCCACATCTATGTTTCACATTTGTTAGACCAAAACACCACCAAAAACAAATCAACTTGTTGCTCCCTTGTCTGGTTCTATTGACACATTGACCACCTCCTTTTTTGCGCTCCCATTGACCTCTCAGTGGAAGTAAGTTTAAAATGTCTTCCTCTTCATTTATATTGCTGATTTCATCGAATCCCTCCATTATCAAAATGCAACAGAAAACAAGGTAGCAGAGATGCATGGCTCGTTAATTTCACTGAGCAACACTCATCAAAACTTTTGCACACTCTATAGTGCTTTAGTATAGTATGGGTCAAGCTCCAAAAACACTGTAGGCTACTATTTCCAAAGACATTACTTATCATCCTCGCCTGGTAAATACCCATGTCTTTCAGACTCCATATCCTGACTGCGTGCGGTCTCAAGTTCAGCCTGTGATTACAGAATAGGTCAAAGTCAGTTAATTTCTGACTTGGTTGCAGCCTAAGTATGAGTTTCCAATGCAAGTGTCCATATCAGTCATAAAGGCATTATGTTAATCAAAAATACAAATATTTTAATACTAGTCCATACCCATTGAGTGCACAGTTGCCCACGTACAGTTTTACATGGTGTTTGTTTGGGATACAGGTCATAGGAAATTGCAGATTAAATAGTCAACTGAACCCATTAAGAGGAGCAATGTATTCAGACAGAGTTTTTGTGAATTTGATATTACGATTGCTTTATTGAAAGTACAGTAGTACCATTGCCAATAGTGGGATAGTTAGTGGGCTAAAACTGTACATTAGTAGTTGAGTAGTCTGAGTGGGCGGAAGTTCGCTCCAGAGATCAGCCTCTCATTGGGCGGAACGAGCCACCCGCTGAAGTCCCGCCCTACCACCTCCGGTTGTGTAGCAGTTTTCAACTGTTTTCAACACGTCCTTTACTAACTTTTGTGGTGTTTGATCTTGCGAGGATGTAGCCATTTTTCTGCCATGGTTCGCGTCCTGTAGGCGATATTTTTGTGGGCGTGTTACACCAAAACCTGTTTCCCCCCAGCAATATTTTTGCCACCGTTGCTGTGGCACCGCCCAGAACGATTGTGATTGGTTGAAAGAAATACAAGCAGCTGGGGCATTTTTTTCTCCAATCTCAAAGTGAGAGTTGGCCCAGCCAGACCTTTCTTTTCTTGAGAAAGGTCTGGTGAGCGAGACTAGTAGTAGGTACAGCACGTTGTGTAGCACGTTGAAAGGCAGATAGTTAAAGTGTTTATATGCTGTATTGACTTAAAAGTGGGGCGCACTGGTAGTTCACATGGGAAAGGTGCGGCTAGCCCTTGTTGTAGCAGCATACCATACCATGACTTAGTCCTACCAAAAATTAGAAAGAAAATCCAAACATTCGGCCACAGGGGGAGCCACAGCGATCGGTCGCATTTTAGCCATTTTTAAGCATTTTTCTGTTGTTATAGCGCCACCCATTTGCCAGTTAGAGTTAAATTTCTCCAGTCACCTTGAGGCGTCCTGTTCTACCTATCTACCAAGTTTAGTAAAAATCGACATGGTGGTTAGGCCTAGATAAGAAATTAGCTCTCTAGCGCCCCAATTTTGTTTGATGGGGTCAATAATGGAGGGTTCCCCTCAGATTATGTGTCGTCATATGCCTACAAAGTTACGTGGTGATCGGTGAAACCCTTGAGATGTTATACCTTTATGTGATGAGCCACGCCCTCTGCAATATTCATTGCCTTATAGAAGCTCAGTTTTAGTAAGTTTTCCAACTTTTGCCAAGAGGGAACTTTAGATATTGGTCCCTAGATTATGTTCACCGAGTTTCATGCAGATCGGTCAAACTTCCTAGGAAGAGATCAATTTTAAGTGTTTTTCAAAAAATTCAAAATGGCGGACAATTTATATAACCGGAAGTTATGGGTTCTTGGGACAACTTTGTTCCTCATGAGGAGAGGCATCTCTGTGCAAAGTTTCATGTCTCTACCACTGTGCCAAATTTCACATGGATCGACCAAGTCAGTGAGGAGAAAAACGTGGAACAGACACACCCACACACCCACAGACAGAGTTTTTGTCATTATATAG